CGGGGGGGGCGCGGTGGGCATTCGGAGAAGACGGTGGCGGGCAGTCGGAGAAGATGGTGGCGGGCCAGTCGGAGAGGAGCGACGGTGGGCTTTCGCCGGATGTCCCGCGTCTTCTTTGGTTGGAGAAGAGAGAGAAGAAAAAAAAAACTGAAATCCGTTTTCAGAAAACAAAAACGTGAAAATGAAGGGTGCGTTTGGAATTGGTTCCAAAACGTTTTTATTTTCTGTACGAAAATGAAAATGAAAACGTTTTTAGTTTCATTTTTGAATTATTTCTAAAAATGCGTTTGGTAGTTTTATTTAGAGATTGATTTCAGTTTTAAAAAAAACTGAAACTGCGTTTGGTGGTTTAATTTTTGAAAACATGTAATAATATATTAAATAATTTTTTTTTTTTTCTTTGAGGGCATCAAGTTCAAGTATTATTAATAGATAATATTTTGCTTGTTAGATCATGCTAACGGTATTGATTTGTCTACTATTTTTTAGGTACTAAGAGTGTGTTTAGTTGCGGTAGAAGAAATAGTAATGAGAATGAGAATTGTGGTTTTGAAATGAAAAAAAAAAATTAATTCATTTATTTAGTTGTAATTTTAAGAATACTATAAAATTGAATATGGATATTTTCATGTTGAAAAAATTATCCTTATCTTACATATAACACTAATATTTTATATATCAATATAATTAATATAATATATAAAATGTAGTATAATACAATAAAATTATTATTATATAATATAATATAATTATGATATAGAATATAAAATGCTCACCGTAGTCTGCAGTGAGGGAATAATAATGATAATGAGAATGAGAATGGTACTGATAATGAAATGAAAAAGAACGTTGATTCATTTATTTAGTTGTAATTTCAGAAACACTATAAAATAAAATATGAATATTTTCATGTTGACAAAATTATTCTTATATTACATATAACACTAATATTTTATATATCAATATAATTAATATAATAGATAAAATGTAATATGATATAATAAAATTATTATTATATAATTATGATATAGAATATAATAATAATATTAAAATTGATAATATAATTATAATATGTTATAATATATTATAAGATTATATAATAAATAATAATATTTTAGTTATAATATAATTAAAAATTACAACAACATTATATTATACTATAAAATAAAATAAAAAAGAAGAAAAGAGTTTGGAATGGATATTCTTCTCATGTGAGAAAATAATGATGATTCACCCAAAATAAGTAAATAGTCATTCCTTTTAAATGACCAATCCTTTTTTATAAATCCAACCAATCATCATAGTTAAATTCCATTCTATTCTATTTCTTTCCTTTTCACCCAATTAAATGCACCCTAAATGATGTAACAATACATTTGTCCGTATATAATTAATTAAAACTAATTGAGGCTAGCTAGCTCAATTGGTATTTAGTTAGATGTGATTGTTTGTGAGAACTTTTTACTGTAGTAAAACTCGAATTTTAAACTCGAATCAGCGAAATGAACGGGCCCGTGAGTGTGGTAAGTTCAAGTTCAAGTATCAGCCGAGGCAAATAAAAAAATTGATTAAATAAGATATGCCATTATGCACACTCAAATATTATTTACCAATTATTACAATTCGACAAATTAATTGTCACATCATTTGGTATCTAAATTTGGTAAATGATTTGGATGCCGAATAATTGTTCTTAATTTCTTGTTACTTTTTAATCGCGGGTAATTAGTTAACGTTTTGGAATTAATGAGTAGTAGAAGTACTCTTTCCAATTAGCACCCACAGCCCAGACAGAATAAAAATACAACTAATTTGAGTACTAGTATTCCAAGATTTAAATAGATGAATAGCCATTTTTTTTAGTACTCTTATTATAATTTTGATTAAAAAAAGGCTGCCTGCCATACCTTTTCTTTATTTTTCTTTTTAAGCATAGAGTGGTGACAAAAAAACAGAAACCAATTTTTTCAAGTGAAATTATAGAAAATATGCTATATCTTTTAAAATATTTACGGTAAATATCATATTATTTTGTGACTGATTAATTTAGGAAGCAAATAATTTATAAGGTAAATTTACAGTAAATATGCTACTAAATGAATCATTTACCGTAAATATATATTATTTACCATAAATGTATTAAAATATGTATTTACCACAAATATTTTGAGGAAAAAAAAACGTTATTTAGTTCTGTCTTCCTAATGTCAATCACTTACAAAAGAAAATATAAACCTAACCCATAATTCCATAGAAATCAACGGGCATACATACCTGAAATATCGCTCTCACAGTAGGGAAAATTATTTAAAAAAAAAAAAAACCATTAAAAATTTTTCACCATTAAAAAATTTTTCAACAGAAGGAAAGAAACACAAACCCCAAAAAAAAAAATAAAAAAATAAAACACAATTAATTGTTACATATGATTTTCCACTCGACAAGCAATCCATGGGTAAACCACACCAAGGCATTCAAATACTTAAAACATTTGTTTTTGACATGCATGCATGTGTTTCATATGTTTGTGTCTGCATATCATTACTACTTGAAGATAAAAGATTAATATTAAGAGAACGTTTGGTTGGAGGATTCAAATCATGTGATTCGAATCATTTTCGATTTACGTAAATTTTTTATAAGAAAAAATACTGTAATGAACCACGAATCATGATTCGAATCAGAGAACGAATCCCTCTACTAAAGTATTACTAACCCCGGCCTCAAGGCTATCTTCTTTCTTCCTCATGATCGTCATGGTGGGAACTGTCGACAACCCGTCCGTCAGGCTTCGAGCTTGAAGAAGAATTCGCGTCAGCCATTAATGATTTCCGTCCTCAAAATCCTCTCATCACCAAAACTCTACTTAAAAATGACAATCTCTACGAGCACTACTCGTGCCGAGTCTGACGCTATGAACAAGAGGAGGAAGGTGTAATTAACTCAAGTGGGATCTTGGAGTTCCGGAAAAAGATGCTTCTGTGCTCCACGCGGGGCAATGCTGCACACGAAAGAAATGAAGGAACAATTTTGGAAGTATCTCTTTAATCAGAAGCAATTAATTTTTGCTTAATTTGGTGGCTAATTTTCTTCGCAGGTTCTTGAATATTTTGCACGAGGAATGGGACAAAAGAGAGTATAAGGGGTATTGTGTTATTGAGCTGGATTTGGTTGTTTGGTTTTCTCAATTACAGCACAGGGAATGCGGTTTTGCTTTAGAATTCTGCGGGCGAAATGCCAGCCGTTACAGAATTGGAATTCAGAATGTCATGGGCATTGGATAGTTTGTCTCAAGTTTCTGGAATTAGATTAGCAGTCGGCAATTGCTAAGTACCATCCTCAATGTTCTAACAAATTTAAGTAATCTAATGTTATAGTTGTTAAACTAATAATTTAGTTTCATTTTAAATAATTAAAGGGACAAAATACATTTATATACTCGTTGCAATTGCTTTAATCTAATTCTTTTTACCTATAGAGAAGAAGCTCATTCTCAACCTACATTGTCCCCGGTGATATTTCATATACATTATCATTTAGCATGCAGAACAGGGCATTAAAGAGATTTTCATATTCCTATTGTTGTTTTTCGTATTGCTTTCCAGTTTGAAGAAGAAAAACGCACTCTAGAAAATCCCAAGTAATTCACATGAATTTACAGATATCAATTATCAAATAGCAATTACAAAGACGAAAAAAATGCTTTTCCCCGCCCCATGACCAGCGCGACTAATGATCCCAACAACCTAGTTTAACATGAGTCATTTGCAATAGCAAATGATTCAAATTAAGAATTGATGTACACAAGAAAGAAGTACAGCACGAATCTTTTGAGCCCCATTTGATTTCAGTACCTAAGTGGTGAACATGAGCATCCAACAAACCAATTTTGTGAGCCTTAAATCCCTGCAGGCATGACCAAACCCAGTTCCTTGCGTTGCTCTTCGTCTGGTTGCAAGCTCCCCGGGATTGCACCAAATATCTTTCGTGATACTTCAAATCCAGAAACAAAATTATGCACTTGTGCTGATAAATCCTCAATCTTCTCCCCAAGATTCAACGATGTAGACATTAAGTTATTTGAAGGAGATTTTGACAGGTTTTTTGTGGACGCATGGTCCAGCTCAGCAGCTCTTAAAAACCGTTCTGTGGCAGCCTCCCAGGATAGCTCGTGCCTCTGTGCATCAGTCAGCTGCGCAGGCTCGTCAGCCAGAGCCTTGCGTGTGACCTTAACAAAATCTTTGCTGTCATTATATGTTCGGCAATTCGGGAACTGCTTGAAGAATTCGTTAGACGGATGATTCACACAGACAATGATTTTGCCCATTGCTAAGGCTTCAGCTGTGGTTGTGCAAACTACATCTGTGGTGCTTGGATTCAAGAACACTTTGTAACTGAATAAGAAAAAAAGTAAAAGAGAATTTGATATGTACACATCCCTATGAAAGCTGATCATTACTAAGGAAGAAAACTCATTAAACTCAGTTTTGATGAGGAAACGTGCACAAGGAGTGAATGAAAATTCTAACCCAGTTGACAACAGATATTTGGGAGACATAAATCTCAAAAATGAGACTTCACTAGACTAAGCTAAGGGTACTTTGCATGAAATAAAAAAAGGAAAATTAGGAGGGATCCCCTTTCCCATCTAATTATGTATCTACCAACAAAAATATGGAATGAGGAAAGGGAATCACAATTCTTGCATCCACCTTGGTATTGATTCCCCGGAATGAATATCAAATTTATTGGCATACCCTCAATAAGTTCTCAAGTTATAGGCCAATGATTTCTTGAGGACATTTTATTAAATATATTGATAAGATTACTATTCTTTACATTGATTAGATTACTATTCTTAAGTTTAGTAGACACTACTAGAAAGAGAATCAATGATCCCACCTTTTGTTTCTTTACTTTCCTTTCCAATCTCCTTACCTTTCCCATTACGTTCTTTTATGGTTTGGTAAACATGCCCTAAACATTGAACAAAATGAAGGTCCAAGAGGAGAGCAATCTCGGGAAGGCGGAAGTTAAACATATATCTTTTTCCTTCTATTGGAGATAAAATCAATAATAATAGAAGATAAAATCAATAATTTAACTGACAAAATAAGGAAATTTAACAGGATGTTGAGCGCTTACTCATGAAACAGAGGATCAGCATGGTCACGTCCGAGATTAACTCGAACAGCCAGTTCCAGCTTTTTAGCAGCTTCCATAACTTGATCAGAGTCCTCTCCAGTTCCATACAAGTCAACCTCAAGGCTAGCGAGTTCCTTTTGGTGATCACGAAGAAGTTTGAGTAACTCCTTGTAGCCTTTGCTCCAAACCATTTTCCCAATGTAGTAAGCACCTTTAGTAAATGCCTGATCACCATTTTGTTGTTGCTCTAACTTTTTCTTGCCTATCTCAAAAAACTTGGGATTAACTCCATGAACATTACAGATGATGGATTTTGGATAATCCTGGGTGGCAGCAGATAATCTAATTACCTACAAGGACAAGATAGACGAAATCTGGTAAGCAACTGTATATATGAAGATAAATGGGGGGAAAGAAATTCAACTTCTCAAAGAATTTTAAAATGAACAATTTTAGCATTTGAGCATATACTAGATATACTATTTAGGAGTGGAGAAACAAGAAATAAAAATGTTAGGAACCTAATAGTTATAAGTCTTTTTTAATAGTCATGATAGTAGTATAAATAGGGGGTTTAGTTGCTAGGGAGAGGGACGAGATTTGTAGAGAGTGTCTAGTGTTGTGCACTATCTTGGAGGTCGGGGGTCCTCGAAACCGCTCATCTATTCTGTAATTTTCCATTTTTAGTGTTGTTAATGAAGCTCGGATTTTCGGGTTCCTAATAATGGTATCAGAGCACCGATCCATGGCGCCTAAACCGGCAGATTCGGAGAGGGTGACCACCGTGGAGAAGGGATTGGTGGTGGTTGAGGAGGCAGTCCAAGAGGTGGTGGCGGAGAGCCTGCCACAGATTCGGGGGGAGGTGGCTGGGTTGGGAGCGAGTATGGAGGGACTTCATGGACAAATGGGGAAAGTTCGGACGCAAATAGGTGATTTGCAGGCGGCCCTCCGGCGAATGGAGGCGCTGTTGGTGGCACGGCCGGTACCGGAAAGGGCCGACGGAGTTCGCGGCGGAACGGAGAGCAGCAGCACCGCGATTTTCCGGGCGAAGAGATCACGGATTGCGACGACCCAGGCGGAGTGGAGGAAGATTTTTGGCACGATCGTCATCGGGGGGCGCCGATTCGCGAAGGCCGAGGTCGCGAGAAGGGAGAACGATCGCCGGAGAGACGTGGGTCTCATGGAGGAGCGCAAGTTCCGTCGCGAACTGGGGCTAGGTGGTCTGGATCTGCAGCGTGAGGGCTTGTTCGACGGCGCGAGGAGAGCGTAAGGAGGTCGCAACCGTCGGGAAAAGGTGATGGAGCTTGGTCGGCGACGGGAATCAGAGTGGGACCCGGAGTTAGAGGAGGAGAGGCTTGCTCCGGGGCTGGGACGGCATGGGTACCCTTGGAAGAGGGAATCTAGCCCTGATTCGGTCACGGTTGGGCTGATTCCGGCCCGGTTTGGACCGTGCCTCGTGATTCCGGTACGTCTGAGGCTAATTCTGGCCGAATTCGGACTGGGTCACGCGAGTTCGGCCTGATTTGGGAGGATTCCGGCGAAATTAGCGATGGGTCCCGAAATTCTGGTGGCCCTAGGTCTGGGTTTTGCGATTCTGATGTGATTGAGACTGATTCCGATGATGTTAGGGTTGGATCTCGAACTTACAGCAAGATTAGAGCCAATTACAGCCAAATATGGACTGGATCTTCAAGTTTTGGCCTGACTGGGGTTAGGTCTGGGCGATATGAGTTGGGTGAGGGAGATTGGGTTTTGCAATCTGATTTGAGAGAACGAGTTGGGTCTTCTCGATTTGGAGTCAAAACCAATCCAAGGGTTTCGAGTAGGGAGAGGGGGAGGTAGCACGGCACCCTATGGGAGGGCTGAACGAATCAACGATTTCAGCAAATGGATATGTCATTGTTCGCCGGAGAAGACCCTGATGGGTGGGTCTTTAGAGCTGAACGATACTTTTTGTTTTATAGAATGACGAACAATGAGAAAATCCAAACTGCTGAAATGGCTATGAAGGGTGATGCTGGCTTGGTATCAATGGCAGGATGCTCGTTGCCCATTCTACAGTTGGAATGAATTGAAGACTCATCTGCTTAAGCATTTCAGATTGTCATCCGATGAGGCCTTACATGAGAGTTTCTTGGTGAAACGTCAAGAGGATACCATGGCTGACTATAGACGACAATTCAAGGTACTTGCCAAACCTAGGAAAGAGATTTCAAATTCGGTTTTAGAGAGAGTTATTATCATTACAAAATTGGAAGTCGATAAAGAGCAAGTAGTAGGTAGTTCAAGTAGGTTGCTTCCAGCTTAAACAACCGATGTTTCAAATCAAATGGATGTTCAAGGAGTCTTGACTAGGAAGAATTTTGATGGCAAGGTGGACCAAGGCATTGAAAATGAAGTTGGTTTTCAATCTGGTGCTAGTAATGAGGGGCTTCAAGATATGGGAAATAAGATGTCAATGACATCAAAATTTTCCAAGGATGTTACTCTAGAACCAGAGTTTGTTGCACTAGTGAAAGAAGTCCATTCTTGTATTATAAAAGATAATTTGATTCTGTTTGCATCAATTATGGGGATGTTGACAAAAGAATGGAGAGTGTACACTTGCAACTACCCTCCATTGTTGATATTCTGACAAACAGCAAGACAGCTTTCTCTGGTGAGGTGGAACATGCACTGCAACAAGATAACGCTTGTGGGAGGAAGGTTTTTGTTATAAATGAATTGTTTGAGCTGACCAACAAGGTTTTCCAATGCGACAAGGATGATTTTGAGGCTGAGCTTCATGGTTTCGCTGCCCTTCAAGTGGTTCTCAATTTTAGCTCTAAACAAAAGTGTGAAGTTGAAAAGATAAAGTTAACAAGAACATTTGAAGCAAGTTCTGTACGAATCATTCCGGTCGACGTTCGAAGATCCAACCTCATCAAGATTGGAAGGAAGTGGAGTCACACGGCTGTGATTACTTAACACCTTGAGGACAAGGTGTTTTTTTGGAGCGGGAGAAATGTTAGGAACCTAATATTTAGAAGTCTTTTTTAATAGTCTTACTAGTAATATAAATAGGGGGTTTAGTTGCTAGGGAGAGGGAGGAGGAGATTTGTAGAAAGTGTCTAGTGTTATGCACTATCTTGGAGGTTGGGGGTCCTCGAAACCGCCCATCTATTCTGTAATTTTCTATTTTTAGTGTTGTTAATGAAGCTCAAATTTTCAGGTTCCTAACAAAAAACATAGAAAGAGAGGACGCAACATGGTAGCAACTATCTTAGTCAGCATGGATGTGAAGTCGTTTCATGAAAACTAAGAATTATACCTTGTGGCAATATATACTAACAACCCAAGTATTTATGTGTTTGAGAAGAAATGCTTGCAGTCTTCCATTCTTCTCCCTCCTCGCATATTCCAGATAATTGGTATGAATAATCCCTATAACCAAGCGGAATTTACTTTTCCATCTCTTCCCATGGTGGTACCAGGTGAGGTGCTCAGGTTCCTCAAGAATTGCAACATCCGAATCGTCATCAGGGATTCTTTCGGAAATATCTCCAACAGCAAGAATGCTCCTTTTATCTACAGAAAACTGCACCATAAGTTATGCAACAAGTTAGTGTAGGCATTAGTATGTACAGCATCTAAACAATAAAGTCGATGTCGGGGTCTTTATTTCACATCAAAAGCATCTTCTTCACGATTAAGTCGAAAGAATAGATAAAGGTACCTCCTATGAGATACTCTGAGATACATGAAAAACGAAAACCCAAAAAAAAAAAAGAAAAGAAAAGAAAAGAAAACCCTCATCCATGTATACGATTGATTCATGAATGCAGAAACTGTCACAAACCACAGCTATATGATTACCTTTCCAGGATAAAAAAGTATCTCGAAAACAGACTTAAACCCAGTCCTCTCCTCAAGCCACTGACGGACATATGCCTCCTGCCCTACATGTGAGCTGAATCTGATATTGTTGGGATATACTAGCTCCTGATCTTGTAAAGATAACCACGGAATTACTAACGTAACCTTTCTCTCCCCATCTTTTGAAAGATAGGCAGCACGAAACAAAGGGTTGACAGCAGTTCCAGTCATCCATGGTAGGCTGGCAGTAGTAATTATCGCAACATGTCGTTTTCTATCCATCTGATCATTAGGTTGAAAATTTGAAAAGTGAACACCTTTGTATGATATCTTACACTTGAAACAACATTATACATCTTGGAAACTTACAAAACCGCATTTGAAATACATTATGGGCAAAGCATCAAACAGCCATTCAAACTACGCAATACAACAAAACATTGACTTCCCACTAAATTACAATCTGAAACAGCCATAGCAAATACTTGCGCAAATCAACTAAAATGCACGCCCTCCCCGTGAATCGAAACAAAATGCAAATACAAGCAATCAAACAAATAGATAGAGAAGGGAGGAAAATTAAATAAGAAAATCACTAATGATTGTAAACCATCTTTCTCTAGCTCTATATTGTATGGTATTGTCATTTGTAATTAGCAAAAGTACAACAAATACAAAGACATTAACGCATTTAATTTCAGATCCGGCTTAACCCTAAGGCAGGTTAAACGGCTGCTTAAGGCCCCAAAGTTTTAGCCTACAATTTAGGCCTGTTTCTATTATATATTTTGGGCATGTCTATGGTAGGGGGAGCTTTTTTCTCCCTACCGGTAGGGTAAAATCCAACGATCCATATTAAATCTTAGTGAAGGTTTACGTAGTCTCATTCACACCAGATTGTAGCCTATATTAAAAAAAAAACTGAAGCACAATAGCTTTTTTTTTTTTTTTTTTTTTGAGAATGAAGAACAATAGTTTATTACGCCCAGAAAGTAAAAACCAACCTTAAAATCATGAAATTTCCTCACAATCCAAAACTCTTCAGAATCTCAACAACCCAGAAACCGACAATTCAAGCAACAATTATCAAATTATCAAATTTTATGAATTAAGACAACTCAGAAACCTTCAAATTATCAAATTTTCCTTGCAATCAACAATTCCAAAGAATTCAGAAAACCCAGAAACCAACCTTGAAATGATCAAAATTCCTAAACTGGTTGATTTGGAAACAAGCAAATCCAAGTCCCTAAACTGGGTGATTTTGGAATCAAGTCGTTAGGCATTAAAATTTAATAGAATCTGTGTAAATTAGAGTCTAAAATTAAAAACAGCTAAACTTTGAGGTCTATATGTGAAAATTAACTTATTTTTTTGTATTGTTTTAGTCTAAACTTTATATATTTTCAATTTTAGTCTATAATTTTTATAGATTCCGTCAAATATTTAACACCAAATAAACAGAAAGACCGAAACTGAAACAAAATAAAACCTCAACTGTGCGACGTTTAATAGAGAAACCAGCTTAATAGACGATTAATAGAGGAATAATACTCACAAATTCTTTTTTTTATCCAAAAAATATTTTTAGAATTATTTCAAGAATATCATACCAAAAAAAAGAAGTCTTTGACAGTTTTGTACTTGAACATCCCTAATCTTAAACCGTAAAATTCACCTTAAATATTAAAAAACCAAGCAAACAAAAACCATATTTTCAACTTCTCACAAAAGAAACAAGGCTTTGTTTAAAACTTAAAGACGCAAACAGAACAGCAAACCAACGATCTCATCATAAGTGGCCCAAAAAAGGAGTCAAGAGAAAACAATTCGACACTCAGAATATTTCTGATACACATTAATTAAAAGTTTTAAGCAAAGAAAGCAGATATGCAGAATACGAAAATTACGAATATTGGGAAATAAAAGATAATTACCTCTGAAATGTACGCGAAGATTTGGTCAAAGATGAAACAAATGGAACTGAAATTTAGAGGAGAGAGAAACTCAAAAGAAATGAGGCTGCGAGAGAGAAGAGACAGATAGAGGAAGACGAAAATATTTTTTGAAATCCATCGGAAAACGCCTTTCAAGAAAAAGAAAGAAAATCCATCGGAAAACGGAAATTTCAATTTATCGTTTTCTTCTTTTTTTAATAGGAAGAAATTAATTATTTTTTAAAATTCAATTAAATTTTGATATCTCATTTTTTTTTATGGATTGATATCTCATTTAATTGTCAAGTAGTTCATTCCTTTAAACAGCTTTATTTAATTAAAAAAATCATTTTTGATATATATATATTTTTTTTTTGCTTTCTTTTTTCTTAAGTTGTTATCAATTTTATATTTTTGGTTTCCAAAATTTTTTAAAACAAAAATCGATCTAAAGTAACATGTTACATAATGCTTATATTAAAAAGGGTCATTCAAACTTGTATCTCCTGAAGATTCTTACGACTTCAAAGTCTAATTTCAATACTTAAAATGATGTCTAATACATTATATTGTATCACGTCATTTAAAAATTTTAAAATTTTTTTTAATTATTTTTTTTCTGTTTTCATATATAACTCTATTAAATGACGTGTTATAATGTGATTATTTATACCAATTGAGATACTAAACATTAGACATGTAATTTAAATATGATACTTTTAATTTTAAAAACTCTTGGTTTATATTAAGAATGACAATTGAACTGGATGAATTTGGAGTTGGATAATCTTCTTGCCAACCCACTCGATGAATAAAAACACTCATCATCACTATGCCATTAATATGCATAAATTGATGGAGTACGGGACGGGTTTTTCTGTCACAGATTTAGAATACTTGTGGTGTCCCGTTTAATTCTTTCATCATAAATAAATGAATAAATACATAATGTGACTACGTAAAGATAAAAATAAAAAGAAATCGTTTTGAATGTATGTGTGTGTGTGTATATATATATATATATATATAGCTGATATTTTAACTTGCAATAGCATACATAGCATATTATATATATTATCATTAGTTTAATATTAGAATATAATTAAACGGAATTGGAAAATGGAGAATATGAAGGGATCTCTAAATCTGTCCTCATCCCGCAATTCGTAACGGGTTAAAATCTTAACTTATTTACAATTTAAATCCGTTTAAATTGGATTTTTCCTGTCTCATTTAAGGCAAGTTCCTACGGATAAATAGATTAGCCAGTAACATTGTCATTCCCAATTTACACTGAATTTTCAAGAAAAAATTTCATTTTAGTATTATATGTTAAATCGAAATATGTATTTGATATTCTATGTTTTTGATAATTTTAAACTAGTACGTTGATATTTTAAAAAATATTTTTTTGTACCTTAAGTCTCTTTTTAGGACGTGAAATGCCATTTCTATTTTTTAATTAATTTATCCAGAATTTATTTTGTCACAAACATTTTAAAAATATTTCAAATAACCATAAAATAGAAAAACAAAAATTAAAAACTCTAAAAAACTCTCTCTCTTCTTTATCTCTCTCTGTTGGCAAGCCACAGCCGCGACGTCACCAACCTCGGCCACCCAGTCCTGGCACCCCAGCCTCATCGCGCTTAGCAAGGCATCATCCCCTCTTCTTTCTTTGGCGAGCCCAACCACGCCAACACAACCACCGACGAGCTCGACCTTACCTAGTGTGACCCACCCCTATCGTTGCCACAACGTCAAACCTGAAAACAAAAGCAAGAAAACCCCAAAAAAAGACGAAAAATCAAGCGTTGAGGGCCAAAAGTGATAGCCCGAACAAAGCTTCTATGGCAAAAATCGAGGGCCAGCACCTAAAGGGTTTTGTTCCCCTTATCGCTCTAAGTCTATAGAGACTAGATTCACTCCGGTCGGAGGTCAGACGATGGAGGGAAGATTTGGGTTTCTTCGGCCTTTTTTTCCAGCAAGTGCGCCTTCTTCCAGCGGAGATGGCGGTGGCACAGCACGGTTCCAGACTCGGCTCGACAAGAGCTTTTCAACGAGCCAGGAGGTGTTGAAAATCGACGCCGAGTAGGTCACCGGAGTATGTGGCTGCGTGCGAGGAAGAAAGCGGGGGAAGAGAGAGAAAGTGATAGAAGAGAGAATAGTGTCGTTTAGTTGGCGGTTCAAATTGTGTTGATCTAAATTTTTTTATTTAAACAGAAAAATTTAAACAATAATTTAAAATGACGTTTAGATATATAGTATAACTTTTAATCTGGACATGATATAATATTTGAATTAGTGTTTGGATGTTTAAGGGGTTGTTATTTTGTAACAAAACTCATAAAAAATTTAAATTCGAGTTACAATTTTATTCAAGTTCATGTTCTTTTGTAAAATTTGAGTTTGAACTTGAGTTTAGAGCTAAACTCGAGTTTAAATTTGCCCTTCAACTCGAGTTTATAAACTCGAACTCAAGTTAATGAATAATATTTTTTCTATTTTTAAAAATGTCATAACTTTTTCATTTTAATTCTGATTGAGAGAATTTTTTTTCTATGCATTCACAACGAAAAGACGAATAAAACCACACCTATATACCCTATTAACATTTTTCATCACCATTGAGTTTTTATTAAAATACTATCTAAATATAAATTTAAGTTTTGACCCACTCAATATAAACTAAAAAATATTTTCAATTCAAATCATAACTCAAATGTGCACATTTAAACACAAACTCAAGTTACAATTTTAACTCAAATTATAACTCAAACTCAACTCAAGATTATCACTCAAATTACTCTAACTCAAAAATATAAAAGAACAACTTCTAAGAGTAATCGATATAAATTGGGTTTTTTTTCTTAATTGATAAATTCTTTTTTTTTCCTGAAGTTGATAATGATAAAAAAAATTTCATGAACAAATGAAATTAAAACCTGATCAAAAATATATTAAGGGAAATAAAAATAAAGAAAATATAGTTAAATTCTTTTATTAACTTTTTTTAAATAATTATTTGGAACACACTAAGGACATGTTTATTTATTCGTAATCGGAGTGGACATCAATCGGAGTGGACAGGATTCGAAGTGAGCAGAAATTGGAGTCAGAAATCGGAGTCAAAATAAGCTGTTTACTTAGGTTCCAGGAATTGGAATCGGAATCAATCCCAATCCTATTCATGCGTTTACTTACACTCAGAATCGGAATAAACTGTTATAAATTTACTTACCTACCCTTTTAGTAGATTTTTGTGTGTTGAACTTTAAAAAAAAATTATATATTATGCTAACTATCTTAATATTAAAATAACTAACTAGTAATTAGATTTTTTTAATCACACCTAATTATTCATCTAAGTTATTTTTCTCAATAAATTTTAACTCAATTTCAAGAAAAGAATATGATGATGAAATAAAATAAGAACAAAATAACTAAGTTTTAACTCATAAACTCTCAAAAAGAAGTTCCAAGTCATAAATCGAAAAATATAATAAAAAAATATTGTCAAAAAGTCAATCCTTAATCCTATTCTCTACTTGCTCGCCATTCAGTCCACATCTATTGTGCCAAATTTTGTCTCCATGTAGTCCACTCGGTAGATGTTTCAATGGAATCGATAAACTCCGTCTCATTGTTCAATTGTTGTGCTGGATCATTATCGTACACAAAGTCCATAGGGTCATAAGCCATTTCTCTTCGAATAAAGTTATGTAACATACAACATACATAAATTATTTGTCGTTGTATTTTTATGTCATAAAAGCAATGACTTCTTAGTATAGCCCATCGCATTTTCAATAATCCAAAGCACCACTCAATAACATTCCTTCCCATCCCGGTAGGACATATATAAATTGCATGTCTTGTGAACAAACTCCTAAGACATTAGTAGCAATCTCATTTTTCCTTGTTCTATATCTTGATTTGTCTGCCCCTGGCACACAAACTCTTACATACGTTTCATCCAATGCTCCCAAACAATTCTACATTATTATGAAAAAGAAGCATAAAATTTTAAGAACACAAATATAATTTAAAACAAATTTTTTTCAAAATAATAAAAAAAGAGAACACATACCTTAAACCACTTCCATTTAGGGTCAGTTGAGTTCTCCAAAACTGGTTCTAGGGTTTTCCAAAATTCTTTTTGACACCGAATAATTGCTTTTAAACACTCGTGGAAATATTTACTAATCGTTCTTCCGGATCTCTTAAAATTGAAACTAATCACCCTGTTCTTAACATGTTCACCCTGTGCTTTTAAACCATTATCAACATGTTCAACCCAAAAAAAAAAAAGCAAACCGAAAACAAAAATAAAAGATGATTTATGTCCTACCTGCAAATTGAAGAACCGGCAGAAAAGGAGAAGAGGAGATGGTAAATGGCTCAGAGAGAAAGAGGAAAATAAACCCTAGAGAGTTAAATAAAGGAGAAAAATTTAAGGGTAAATTCGTAATGTTGTATTTAATATTAGGAATAGGAGTGGCAATCCGGTGGGGGGTGAGGAGAGTGCAAATCCCATTCCTTAATTTCAAATTGGTGTGGGACCCACACATTTTCACTATCATTTCAGGATATAAATTGGTAAGTAAATATAGAATTGATTCTAAATTTCAATTCTCATTCTCTACTCTTGATAAGTAAACATGCCACAACAACGGCTAATTAGTAGCAAAGGAAAAAAGAAAAAAAATATGCCAAAGTAATACTATACACGCTGAACGATGGGCAAAAAATAGCAAATTAAAGAAATACAAATTGGAAGTTGGAACACATATATGTAATAATACGTGGAGGAAGAAGACAAGAATCTGTATTGTGGGACACAACGATCAAATGTGAAGAGGGGAGAGCAGGGAATCTCAACTGTGGGAGTGAAATTACTCTGAAATAAGTCTGAAAAGTGGAACGAGGGGTCTAAACTCGAATCGGCGATTAGTTTATTAATATAAATTTTTAATTTGAGTTAAAATATAATTTTATGTGAGAATTTTTTATTATAGTAAAAAAATTAAATATAAATGTTTCTGAGAGCTTTTTACTGTAACAAAATTTGAAGTCTAAATTCGAAACGTTGAAATGAACGAGGCAAAACTCTTATACCAGAATTACGATTCTGATTCTAGAACACTCATACCAAATACAATCTTAGGTTGCGTTTGGTATGAGGATTCAAATCAGGGTAGCTTTAGTTTTAGAACTAGAATGATTTATGATTTGAACTTGGGGTCTAAACCATAGTTCTGGAATTAGAATCAAATGTTTGAACCATCCAAAATGAAGGGGGAAGGTGGTTTTATTTTTTGAAATGATTCTGGTTTAAAACATCACATCAGGATTCAAACATTAAACCAGAACCATCCAAACTAAACACTGATTTTCAAGAACTTTTTTTTTTTTACATTTTGCAAACAAACAAATGTTTGAACCAGAATTACGGTTCCGGTTCTAGAACCCTTATTTTTTACTTGGACTGTTCTGTTCAAGATGAGCTGCCCATTTAATTTGAATTAAATGCCCAACCAAACACACACTTGAACTGTGAATCCGCTTGGATTGAGCCGAACAGGCCTAAACCAACGAAACAAACACCCAAATAGTTTTTTAGACTTTTTAGTTTTTAATATATTTAAACCATTTTAAATGATATATGAATTTACTTTTAAAAAATTTTAAATATTGTAAAAAAAACTTTTGGACAAATTAAGTAAATGAGTAAAATGATATTTCACATTTAAAGGCCCTTTAAGTACTAAATAAAATATATTTTAAAATATTAAGATACCCGTATGAAATTATCAAAAATATAAAATAAAATAGGATAGCTAACTGAAAAATTTCCCCAATTAGTCTCACTTCTCTTATATTCGAATTTCCATTAACACGAGAGGAGAAGGAGAGAATAATTGGGCACGTTTGGTAACGTTTTCAAAATGATTGTGTTTTAATACAACAGTAAAAATGAGATTGTTTTGAAAATTATTTTGATACCGATTTTAAAATTGCATTTGGTTAGTTTTTTAAGAGATTGTTTTGAATATAATAAAAAAATAAAATCGTGTTTCGTTATAATTATTAATTAATATATTATAACATTATTGATAAGTACTAGGAAATGAAAACAGAAAAGAAAAATAACTTTTAACTTTTTCTAATTCTTTTACAAAAATTATTCTCATTATTTTTTATTTTTGTTTTTAAAATATTTACTAAACAAAAACAGTTTGAAAACCGTTTTTATTTTCATACCTAAAAAAATGTGTAAAAATATTTTTAAAAATAAACAAAAATTAATTCTGAACCCACCCATTATTATGCCCTTAAATTAAAAAAAAAAAAAGTCTTTGTGGCAACTTATGATTGGCTTGCACTGGCGGTCTTTGAGTATCCATCATGTCTGGTTTTCAAGTTAAATTGAAACGCTAATTATCGTTTGTTTCGCTGATTCGAGTTTAGAATTTGAGTTGAGATGTAATTTTATATGAGAGCTTTTTACTGTAGTAAAAAAGTTAGATGTGACTATTTGTGAGAGCTTTTACTGTAGCAAAACTCGAATTCTAAACTCAAATCAGCGAAACAAATGAGGTCTAAATATTTACTAAATAAATACAGTTTAAAAATCGTTTTTATTTTTGTGCTTCAAAAAATGTGAACATTTTTAAAAATAAACAAAAATTAATTCCGAACCCATCCATTATTATGCCCTTAAATCCCCCAAAAAAAAAAAGTCTTTGTGGCAACTTATGATTGGCTTGCACTGGCGGTCTTCGAGTATTACCATGTCTGGTTTTCAAGTTAAACTGTAACGCTAATTACCGCCTAAATAAAAAATAATAAAAAATAAATAATAAAACAAACTAGGCTTAGGTAGCAGAAAAACTAAGGGGAGAAAAAAAAAAACGACTGGTAGTTACAAGTGCGCTTTCTCCAATTTTCATGACCACCCTAACTTTCTTCCAAAATCATCAAATAGCCAAAACTTCTCACTGCAATCCCCCGATTTTGGACCCATCTCTTTCCTAATCGAAACTTACCCAGGTGACAACTTCTTCTTCTTCTTCTTCTTTTCCTGTTTTTGTGTAAAGTTTTGTTTTCGTTTCTATGTGTTGAATTCTGGTTAGGTTGAGGAAAAAAAGAAAGAAAAAGAAAATCGTTTTTCGATTTATTATTTTTTTTATTTTTAAAGAAAATGTGATAATCTGCTTAAGCCAGGTTTATGGAAGATTGAATTTTTTTTGTTTTTTTTGGTTTTTGCTGTAAAGTAATTTTATTTTTCTTTATTTGCTGTAAAGTAATTTTTTTTTTCTTTATTTGCAACCAAAAGAAGCATCTTTTTTTTTTCTTTCTTTTTCTTTTTCTACAACGCCTATGTGATCTAGTAATCCAATTCTCGTGTTTATAAGATGTTGCTGGGGTTGCTTATGAACGATTTATTTATTATTTGCGAAACATTAAAAGAGTGTGTGTGTGTTTTTTTTTTTTTTTTCAAACAGAAAAAAAGGAAAAAAGAAAATGGAATTGGCACCTTTTGAAGTGCAATTATCCCATTTAAATTCCTTCATTCATTAGAAATTATATTTAAATTGCTTCATTCGTCAACTAGATTATCTGTTTTAAGCAAAAGAATGACAAATTAGTTGTGTTTTCTGGAGTTCTTCAAGAACTATGTATCTTAAGTTGGAGAAAATTAGCATGGTTCAAACTTTGCTTAACAAACAATTTTTAATCAGTAAATGCCCAGAAGTTGAGTTTAATGTTGTCTTTAAAGCCCTCAAATATTATATCGGTCTCATAATACCAAAGGAATATGGAGCCATCCATATTTCATACATAAAGGAAGAAAAGAAAAATGGATGTTCTGAGCTTGGATTTTAGTAGTGTGGCTTTTTGTTTTTTATTTTTCTAGTTTTTAGCTTGAAGAAATGTCGGATTGAGTGCTGAGGGTTTATGTTTCTTATTTACTAGTTGTTAGCTCGAAGAAATGTTGTTGGGCCATACGGACGGTCTATCAGAGCTTAGGTTATCATCACAGAATCAGCTACTTGCTGATCCGGAATCCGATGATGACACTGCAGACAGTTCCGAGCCGATTCTATACTCGGCTTCCTTTGATGAGCTTGGAGAAAACATTATTCAGTATGAAACTGTTATATGGCTCTCTATATCGCTGTTGCTGGTTTTAGCGTGGGGTGTAGGGATCATCATGCTACTTTATCTTCCCATCCGGAGATACATTCTTCGGAAGGATATTTCCTCGCGCAAATTATATGTTACACCTAGCGAGATAGTTTACAAGGTAAAATTATAGTTTTATACTCTCTTGTTATTTGTGAGACTTAAAATACAGAACGCAATAACATATTTGTTTCATCTCCATGAAGGTTTCGAGGCCATCATTCATACCCTTTTTGGGCATCACAACAATTGAGAAGCACATACCCCTTTCTCTGGTGATTGATATCATCATTGAACAAGGTACTGATCCAGTATGTTTCACTCAACCTTATTCCTTGAAGTAAAACTTAATGAATTTAACTTTTTCCTTCATTTCTTATTTCTTATGTTTGAATTGCATCATATGTTCTTACTTATCAAAAAAAAAAAAAAATTGCATCATATGTGTTTTTCCAACTCTATTATCACCTGAGTTTGGAAGTATGTTTGCATGATAAATGTGCAACATATGAACATTGATTATGGGTCCGAGTAATATTTTCTTGTCTAAAAACTATGCTTTGAAACATAAGTAACAATTTTAATTTCTTTTCTTATAGTTGAGGGACGTAAACAATCATATTGTCAGGTTCAAAAGTTTTTGCATGTTCTCTCATTCTCTTTGCAATGAGTTAACTTGGTGGTAACGTTGATAAAAACTGGGAACTATTTTGAGTTGCTTTGTGATGAATCTATCTTCACATCATTTGCTGTCCTAAGCATCAAATGTGATTCTTTTGCCCGTGCTACAGTTATTTTGTGGAGTAACGCTCACATGGTAGAAGACTTTTATTTATTTATTTATTCCGGCAAGAGGCACACCTTAGAAGACTTAATTTTCTTATGTGTCTTCTGTAGGATGCTTGCAGTCAATTTATGGAATACACACCTTTAGAGTTGAAAGTATAGCGCATGGAAAAGCCGCGCCTATAGATGAACTACAGATTCAAGGCGTTTCTGATCCTAGTATTCTGAGGAAGGTGAATCAAAGATTGTTATCTTTTCTATTATATATCTCTGTCCACTGAACTGTTAGATTCTAGATGGAGTTCATAGAGTGAAATTGTATTGCTTTACACTCTGAAAGAGACATGCTGACATTGCATTCTCAAATCGGTTGTTTCATGACCATAGGTCATCATAACAGAAGCTTCGAAGATTATGCTTGATGTTGGTAAAAGTTGGAGGCCTACTGCTCTAGCCGCTGAAGGGGAAACTGGTGTTCGTGTGGGATCATTGACCGAGGGACCAGCTATTTTGAGATCACCAGTCAAAAGCGTGAAGGTAATTGCATAACCGCAGGTCTCTGACTCTCTCCGTATTCCCTAATATACAAACGCTTGCCAAACATCAATGTGGGGATTAGGTAATGTATCGGTTAATGAGGATGGGTTTTGACTTGGGAAAAAAAGGTATAAGGATCTGTTGGCCTGCCCTTAAAGTACTTGGCGTGTTTGTTAGAGGCCTTCGCTCTAGTTAATCTATGCGCCCTGGGACATTAACCGCTTTGCTGACTGTTAAATTATCTTTTGAGTCACACACTAACTTTTGAATTTTCTTATTGTTCTCTGCTTTAGTTTCTGAGAAACAACTATAAAAATAGGATTCTACTTGGCATTGCACTGATATTTTATGATGGATAAAAGAAGCCATCTAGAAGTTCCATAACCGTATTAGAAGCCAATGTCCCAAGTTTTGCTTTTTCATCTGAGTTTTCTGAGTAGCTGATTCTCTCTGCAAGACGTGAGTTACTAATACTTATAGTGGTTTTCCAATGATTCTGATTGCAGAATAACGTTTTTCTAATTGCTTGTTCACTTGGGATCTACCTTCATCATTTCTTCTATGGAAGAGACCAAATTATATTCCAATGTTTTTAATTTTTTCATCAAATTTGTGATTTAACTCTTGTACTTTTCCAGTTCCCTTATGTTGATGGGTGGTTTTACCTTGGTTAACCATAATTTTGATGATTCTGCACAGATGACAGCTTCACCACGCTACTCTCCAATGGACCGCAGAGGCATAGTTCCTGGAGATTTACTCATTCATAAACTTGAAGAAGTAAATAAATCTGTAAAGGTATTGTGCTTTGTTTGTTTTGCTCTTTCATTGTTGATTTGTATGTTCATTGGCTGCCTCTGTAATTTTACTTAAATTTTATGCTTTAAGTTGCTTGGTTTTAATCCTGCTTTTAATCGTGTTTCTCATCTTCGTGTGCAGAAACTCGAGTTTCTTATCGAGAAGTCAAATACTCCTTTTCAAGCAGCGGAAGCAAAATCAGATCCGATCCACGCTGAAGATGCAGGTGTCAGTCAATGATGAAGAAGATAGAAGATAGGCAGTACACTTGATATTTGATTTCAAGCTGCTGCTTTTAATAGGTTTTTTTTTTTTTTTTTTACTGTAGGGACGTTGGTTTTCATGGATTTTTGCCAGAGTTGATATGAATTTTGATAATAGAGGGATGGTGTAATTAATTGGTCTACTTGCTGCTTGGCGTTTGCAAGAGGAATCCCTTATCACATGGGAGTCTCAGCAGTGTCGAGCGTTGTATTTGAGTGCATACTCCGTGCCCAGCAAAGCTTCTCTGAACCTTAGTCCTGCATAGTTTTCTAGTCTATGATTTTTTTTCCATTTTTTTTTTCCAAAGGTCAGAAATACTGTTAAGCAGTTGTCAAGATTTTGATTTGTTGGTTTATCAAAGGCTATTTACAAAAATACCATAGCACCTGGTCTCATTTAAACAGAGTTTTTAAGTCATGTCCATCCTTAAAATGCTGAGTAAGGTCATGTCTTTCCTTACATGCTAGCAAAGCCATATCTCTCCTCAGCATGCGAGCAAGGTTATGTTCATCCTCAACATGCTGGCAAGGTCATCAGCGCTATAGAGTCAGATTATAAAAAGTACTAGCTTGAAAGGCTCATTGGAATTGATCCTGATTGGTTAACATTTTTATAATATCAGAGTAACCCATGACAATTTGTATTAACTGTAAGTTTTTGGACCTCATGGGCTTGGAGCATGGGGCAGATGAGATGTGCCGGTAGGGGCTTGGCATAAGAGGGTTGGGTACATCGTAGTCGGAGAGGGAGTCTAGTTCGCATGGGTCAGTCATCGTCATTTTGATGGAGATGGTGGAGGCTGGGTCTATTGTCGAGAAGGGAAGACTACTCATTTTTGGTTTTTCTTTTATATTTCGTTTTTCTTCTTTTCAGGCCTTTTTTCTTTTAAATTTCAATAACTTTTATTGGTTTAAGATTTATGTTCTTATATTATAGTTTCGTAATATTTTCCTAATAATCGTTAAACTAATGTTTAATATAAACGTGTCAGTCCTAAAGCATTAGATAGAAAGAGAAAAGTCTGAAAGGAGTGGGCATAGCCACTTTTCCGAGCTCTAAGTCTTTTTGTCTTCAAGCTCTTCAAATAGTGATCTTTTTGGTGTCGATCCCTAACATAAGTTGAAAACAATAAACCATTTCTAAAAAATAACCCAAAAATAAAAATTAAGATTGAAAGTGTCAAATTGCGAGAGTTCAAGGTTTAAATTGTCAAAAATAAGTGTCAAATTAAGATAGTTTAAGGTATAAATTACTAAAAAAATAAAATTTGGGGTTGAAAGTGCAATAACCCCATGGAACATTGATAGTTGAAGTACTTCAAGGGTTCTATCACTGTGGCAATGAGATTCTTATGGTGGCTGGTCTTATGTGACGACAGTTGTAGTTCATAGGGCTTATGTGTCCTGATTCGGGCAGAATTATGACTACATTATGGTTTTGTAGGGTTAACTGTTTTCTCTAGTGGATCATTCATTGGCTTAGTTTGGTATTGATTCTAGGAGCTCAAAATCACTTATTTAGCCATCCACAACTGTCATGTGTGTTTGGTAAAAATCCAAAGAAATGATTCTTGTACAATTTTTGAAGAATTTAAGGCTAAATCAGAAGCAGCCCAAAGGCTACTTCTGATTGTAGATTGTGCGGGAATCCCTTGTGGCATATTAATGAAACTTTTAATATTACTCCATTACCCCTGCTGAATGAAAATAATCTCATTCCCAAAAAAACTTGTTGTTTGCGGTTTGTGCTCTCATCTTCGCAGTCTCCCCTCTCTCACTGTTCTCTCGTTCTCCCTCCGAATTGTGGGATTGGCAGTTGGAGCTCATCAGATCAATAGCCTCTATAAGTACTCGATTGATCTTCGTTTGTTTCCATTTGGTATGTTTTCTCTTATAGATTTAAAATTATCTAAACAAGATCATCATAACTAATCTGGCCTAAAATCCGAAAATGCCCCAAAAGTCTTATTTGGGATTTAGGCATACCTCATATTCTGGTGGGCAACGGAAGCACGTTGTTCATGGTCACCGGAAAACGTCGATGGCCGGCCGGAATCCATGGAGAACCTGCAAAAGGAAGAAGAATGGCAAGAAGAGCCACTGAGCTCTTCCCTATCTCTCCCTGTTCGGCCATACACCCCAAAAATACTCCACAAGCTCAAGCCCCCCTTCTCTAAAGAAGGGGTGGTGCCTATATAAACCAAATAGGCCTAAGGGCTTTTAACCACTATTTATTCAGAGAGGAAATTTGGTCCAATGGGCTGACCAAATATTATGAGATGGAGAGAGTTCAAATGCCCCAAGCGAGTTAATAAAACAAGTGTCAATCCCATTATGAACTGATGTTTAACATACATGCATGTGTTAATTCACATTAACATAGTTGTCCATAAGATGCTTTAATTAATTACAGAATGAATTATTATGATTATGGAAGTCGACATAAAAATATTCCAACAGTCTCCCACTTGGACAACATAATCATACAACAAATATTCACTCATCACAGCATAAGCATCAACTAAGAATCTCACATAATAAACACAAGCCCAAAACAATCATGCATAATAACGTATTCACAGGATACAATCATTATACATAATCAGGCGTTGGAGATTCATCAAAGCATGACGACAACTTTAATATATAGATCAAAAACAATGATGGAGACTAACAACCAGATGTCTCTTTTTAACTCGTCACTTTGCCAACTAAAAAGTGTGTCAACACAACATCACACATAAAGTGACATATCCATGAATATGCGTGTATTATTTGAGGCATAAGCAATCCTGATTAATAACAACATGTCACACACAAATGGCAGTAAACTCCTACTAACTCAATACAACTATAGACTCCTTACAGTCCCGAGTGGGATGCGTGCTCTTAAAATACCTAATAGGTAAGCCTTTAATGAAACTGTCAACATGTTGTTTATAAGAGTGTTTCCAGTAACAATGAGGTCTTTTACAATTTCTTTTTACAAAAATAGAACACACCATTATTATGTTTGAGCAGACAATGCTCCTGGTGTTATAAGAGAAATATACTATTATGGAACTTTCGCAACATAGTTTTAGCCAGTCCAGAAATGGAGTGAACTACTCCTAATGCTGAAACAATGTTCCACAATTACATCACACAAATAGTCTCACGATACGCAACATACTCCACATCACAGTAAAGGACGCTACGAGTGTCTATTTGACACTTTTCAACAAAGTAGCTCCTTATTTTATCATTTAAGCAACCTAATTAATCGACATCACGAGATCCAACTACAACAAAAGTGTTGGTTTGCCGATACACAACTATCTGGTACTTCATTCCCATTTGATTCAATAATAATAACAACAATCACTCAAGTACCAAATATGCACGTCAACAACAAACACAATAATAAGACGTGTGCGTACTTGAGCATACATCAGGCTGCTAAACAAGTAAGCATAAGGCACAATTTCATCTGATCTCTCTTACTTCACCATAAGGACACTACACCTTTGAGAGTTTATCACTTTAACAAACAATGCTTACTAGGAGAACAAGAATGCATATTGAACCTGTTCAAAACAAGAACAATATAGGTTCTCTAAGACGATTAGAAAATGCACTTATCATTGTCACGGAGAATCTACATGCTTAGAACATAAGATGCTTTCTCAAGATTCTCCTACCAAAGTGACTAGGTGACATGCTATTCGTCTTAACTAGCAGGTCATAATCATTAGGTGCGAGCAAGTTGTCACCGACATGAAAAATAGAAACATGCAACTGCTCCCACTGACCTTACACATATGCATTTATAAACAACGTTCTCCATAAAACTAATTTTAGTGATTGTCTCATCCTAAAATTGAGACACTACTGCCTCGGTGTTATTCATACACTCTCACTCATCATAGAGTTTCTCAACACATTAGTGAAGCTAGGAAACACATCCACTCTCAAGGTTATGTCCATTTCATTATTAACAGATTCATAAAGAGATTCATACCATATATAATAACTTGTCCCATTTAACGTCAAGATAGCAGAGATGCAAGGATTGCTCAAGGCTAAAAAAAAAACAACATGGGCAACCAACAATAGGCATGTAAAACAAGATCATGCAATTTGCCCTTTACTTAGCCTTCCCAATGATTCAAGCCAATATAATCATTGTGTGCTGGAGTCCGTTGAGTAAGAATAGAACTCTTTCACAAATAAAGACAATTCATCAAACATCACAACCAAATGCAGCAATCCACCGTAATCTCCTCCCTCCTCTCCTCCCTTAGTTGTTGGACTATGTGCCGAAAGCTTATCAAATTTAGGATTCTCAATGCCAAAATTAAAAGTTTGATGTTCAATTTACAATTGAGGAAAAATTCAAGATGTACTAGTGAAATTTATCGTAAGTACCCTCTTCAGACAATGCTACTTAATGTTAGCACTTCTCCATGGCCAAGTTTGTGTATTTTCTTTGGTTAAGTTGCAAAATCTAGAAAGCTAGCTCTCCTACATTGGTGAAATCCATAGGAAATTTTTAGGATGATGCACGGGAATAAACTCGTCTGAGGTTTCAGTTCTTCTGAAAAATCATGCGCCGCGGTTTGGCTCTGATCCCAAATTAAATTTTATGATTTAAAATTGAATAAAATGAAAAGAACTGGAAAAAAAAAAAGTTGTTTGGAGGCATTATTTTGAAACAAGAAAATTTGAATCATGGAATTAACTCAAAATACAATGGAAGAAATGAAAACAATTCTAACTTGTCCCAATTAGCTCCAGTGAAAGGTTCCATCAGAGGGGATAGGCGTTGGTGGTGAGGTCAGTGTCATTTTCTGCGGCTGAGAAAATGATAACTCGGGTGGAGAAGAGCGTCGACTTCGCATCACCTGTGTTGAGAGTCCTGGTTGTGTTTGAGTCGTTATAGCTGTTAGCTTTGTAACAGTTCTGTAACATATTCTGTTACGACGCTTGGTTAGTCTTGAGTTAGTACAGCTGTAATTTTATTCATATAAATATACACGATCTAGTGACTCAATTAATTGATTGAGCATTTTTCACCAAAATTCCTCTCTCTAGATTTTTCTCTCTCTCTACATTTCTCTTGTTGTTCAATTCACTTCTTGGTATCAGAGCTTCCTTGACAAACGTGAATGGTGTGCTCTGCTCAACCAATCTCCGATGGATCTGGATATGGATCGTGATCTTCTTCTTCTGTTCATGTTGCTTTTGTTCCGTTTTCGTCAACGCTTGTTCCTTTGGTTCTCAAGCTTGATCGGAACAACTTTTTCTTTTGGCGATCTCAAGTGTTGCCTGCGGTTCGCGTACGCGATCTTGAAGGCTTTCTCACAGGAACACGTCGGTGTCCTGAAGAATTTGTTCCTCTCCAAGTTGGTGAAG